TTCTCTCCCTGGAAGGGAAGGAGAGGGAGGAGAGGGAAGCGCAGGTAGAGAAAAGGAAGGAGGGAGGGCTGGGGATGGGGTGGTTACAGAAGAGAGAAACTGAAAGGAGCCCGGAGAGAAGGACCCAAAGGCTCTCCGCAGCTGTAGTCCAAGAATCGCTTGTGTGATGGCTAGTTTATCAACAGCAAACAGGTTGAAATAAACTTTATAAGACACATATTCACCTTAAATAAGGGTGCAACATAGGCTAGCAACTCTGTTTACAGCTGCGGTTGTTATCTAGTCAGTTGGAGTTGGTGACTTAACACCTCCCCCACTTCCCTTTTCTGTCCCCCTCCCCTCTAGACAGGGCTTTCTCTGGGTAGCTCTGGCTATCCTAGAACTCGCTCTGTAAACCAGGCTGGCCTTGAACTAAGAGATCCACCTGCCTCTGCCTCCAGAGAGCTGGAATTAAAGGTGTACACCACCACTACCCGGGGGACTTAATCCCTTTTAAAACCGTTAAATATTTCTGTAAAATATCCCTCATTCCTTCCCTATGTGGTGCTCTCTGTGCAGTTCAGTAAGTACAGAGCAAAACACTTTGTTAGGGACACACATAGACAAAGGGACAGAGTCAAAAGACAGCGTTCAGTCAGGCACTGGTTCAGAGGCATACAAGGAAGAGTCAGGAGAGCTGGAAGACATAAGGGGAGAAGAGGAAGAGAATTCAAATCTGACCTCTCAATAAGATTACTCCAAAGAGGAATGCTCAAATTAGTTTCTTACTTAATTCATATCACTTTAATTTCTTAATTGATGCTGATGCATTATTGGTGACTCTTGAGAACTGACTCCTTTTACCAACAGGGCATCAGTCTAGTCCACCAGGCATGTTCTAATGTCCTAAGTGGCTGCCTGAAACCACGGCAATACCTACCCCAAACAAACTTTTTCTTATACCTGTGATAATGTTCCATTTATCAGTTAGACATAGTCAGAGATCAACAACTATAGTCAGCAATAAAACAGGACAATTCATGCTGAGCATGGTGATACATGGCTGTCTTCTCAGTATTGGGAGATTGAGGCAGGAGGATCAGAAGTTTGAGGCCAGTCTGGGAGCATGAACACTCTTTCAAAAAGACAAAACAAGGACTGGTAAGATGGTTCTTGCCCCCAAGCCTGAGGACTCCTGGAACCCACACAGTGGAAGGAAAGAACCGAATCCCCCAAATTATTTCTGACCTCCATGCTTGAGTTTTGTGTGGTGTGCATGTTTTGTGTGTATGTTCATGTGCACACACTGCTCTCCCAGAGGATCTGAGCTGGAGTCCTAGCATCCTCACCAGATAGCTTATCACCACCCATGACTGCAGCTTCAGAGATTCCAACTTCCTCTCCTGGCTTCCGAGGGCACTTTGTACTCATGTGCTCTCATCCCCCACATAAATAAAACATAAAATAAATCTTAAAAGACTTAAGCCAATGAGTTGGCTCAGTAGGGAAAGGTGTTTGCTGCGAAGTCTGACGATCTGAGTCTGAGTCTCAGGACCCATGTGATGGAAGGAGAAAACTGATGTTTGCGAGTTGTCCTTTGCTCCTCACACACATGTATGTGTGTGACACCACACATGCACACCTGTTCTCCACACACATGTATGTGTGTGACACTACATATGCACACCTATTCTCCACACACATGTGCACACCACACATGCACATTTGCTCTCCACACAATGTACACATGTGCACACCACACACGCACACCTGTTCTCCACACACATGTATGTGTGTGACACCACACATGCACACCTGTTCTCCACACACATGTACATGTGTGACACCATACACACACACACCTGCTCTCCACACGCATGCACACATCACACCTGCTCTTCACACACATAGACATAAAGGCATGTAATAAAAGAAATTTAAAAATAAACGAATGAATGAATAAAATAAAAACTCAAACATAAAAAACAACACAGACAAAAGTAATTGACTGCAATAGGCAGTAATTTAAAAGATACTTTGTGCTATGCAGGATCTTCAGACCTAGACTGACAGTGGATAGAGAAAAGGATGAAAACAGAGAAACAGGGACAGTAGGATTAGCTGAGAAATGGGTACAGCATGAAATCTTTCTTTCTTTTTCCTTTCTTTCTCTCCTTCCTTCCTTCCTTCCTTCCTTTCTTCCTTTTTCTTTCTAGAAAAGGATTTATTTCTCTTTATTTCATGTATGTGTTTTTCCCACATGCATGTACACCACATGTGCACTGGGCATGCAGTGCCCTCAGAGGTCAAAATGAGTTTTGCACTCTCTAGAGTTGGAGTTACAGGTGGTTGTGAGCCACCCCGTGAGAGTGCTGGCAACTGAATCTTGGTCCTCTATAAAGAATATCAAGTGCTCTCAACCGCTGAGCCATCTCTCCGGCTCCGCTGGGCTTTCTTTTGAGGTACAACACAGGAAGTCTCTGTGCCATACATATGTTTTATGGGTGGGGACGGCTCAGGAAGCAAGACTTCACCACAAGAACACAGAACAAAGGAAAAGGCGGAGTCAATAATGTTTTCTGAGCTACAATGTGCCAGGCACCAAGTTCAAAGATTTCACGTGCATGACCTCAAGACCTTTCTCTCACACAGGTGCTCAAAGAGAGGCCACGAGTGTTCGTGCTAGGACCTGTAGTCACACAGAAGCTCGGGAGCACTAGGATTCAAAGGCATGCCTATGCAAAATGACACTCCAGCACTCACAACAGGACCCAGCAAGTGCAAGCACATTCCTAGCTCTGTGTTAGGAGTTGAGGAGACCTGGGATGCAGAGACAGTCCAGCCCAGATACACTGAGGAGTTTGCAGTTAACTGTGTGCGTTTTTATGCACGTGTATGTGGTGGTGTGTGCAGAAATGTGCATGCATGTGGAAGCGGGAGGTTGACATTGTCTTCCACAATTGCTTTCCTCCTCATTTTTAAATTAGACCAATTGTTAATTTGTATGTACGTGTGCGCGTACATGCCATGGAGTATGTGTGGAGGTCAGAGGACAACTTGCAGTTCTCTCCTTCCAATTTGTGGGATAGAACTCATGACGTCAGGCTTAACCTCAGGTAAGCCATCTTTCCAGCCCCCACCTTACTTTTGAGACAAGCTCTCACTGAACTCGAAACTCACCAATGCAGCAAGACTGGTTGGTTAGAGAGCCCCCAGAGACCTGTCTTTGCCTCCGCAACCCTGGGTCAGCACCATGCTCAATTTATTTCCCATGAGTGCAGGCGATCTGAACCCAGCTCCCCATGCTATCTCCCCAGGCTCTTCAAGAGTCATGAAGAAGCTGTCTCTTATGGAAATTTATAGTCACAAGAAAGGCGCTCAAAGGTGACAGAACTCACACTTTCCTTCCTTTGCAGAACCAGCGTGACTCTCCTGGAGGGTCAGCCCTGTGGTGTGACATTCAACATCTGCCTCCCACCAACTCACTGCCTCCATCGAAGCGGCTCTCAACCCACTTCTGCATGGCTCTGGGGGTCACCTCCTGCACCTAGAGTGCTTGACGTCAACAGAGAATACTAGGGAGTGAGGAAGCTGCAGGCCTGGATGGGGTATAAGGTACAACATGCCTCCCTACTTCAGTTTACTCAAGCAGTTACTGTGGGAGGCTCTTCATGTGGGACCCTGAAGGAAGCCACCAGTAACTCCCCAAGGTTAAGAGCCCTTGCAGAAGACCTGGAAAGATCTGCTATTCAGCAGATGTCAGCCTTAAGTTTGCTCTGCAAGCTGGGGTCTCCTTGCCTGTGTAAGAGGCTTTGAAAGGTGAGGAGGTCAAGGCAGGGTGTGGTGGTATGCGTGCGTGCTTGTCATCCCAGAACTGGGGAGGCATGGGTAGGGACGCTGGGAGTTGGAGGCAAGTCTGGACTACATGGCGAGACCCAGACTCAAAAGCCAAACAAAGCAGAACAAAGATAAAACACGAACACCTAAACTTCCTCCCTCATCCCCGACCCCTGTCCCCACACAGCTCTTGCCTACAAAGGGCTCCTTCAGACTCCAGCATGGGTCTCCTGTAGATCAGGCAGCCTTTGAACTCCCTCTGAAACTGAGGATGACCTTAAACTCCTGATCCTTCTGCCTCTACCTTCCAAGTGACGTTTGACAGGCATGCAACACCCCTCCTTGATTTATATAACGCTGGGGCTAAAACTCAGTGCTTTGCCCATGCTAAGCAAGCACCCCATCAATGAACCTATGCCCCCAGCACCCTCCAGGATTATTTTAGGACTGCTGATCTCTGCAAAGCAAACACAAGGGACAAACAGCTGCCTTACTCTCTCACGGTCATGACCTGGCAGTTAGTAGTCAATTTTGCTGTCTTGGGGGCTCTCAGGCCCATTACTGCTTTGTCCCAAAATGCCCATCTGTCCATGTCTCCTCAAGATGCGTACTCACCCAATGGGTCTCGATTCTTGCTGAAGTAGGCGACTATCGTTGTTAACAGCTCTTGCAGCCCCCATGTCAGAAAGCCAGGGTTGCCAGTGGCACATGGGCCAAGCTAACCACAGGGTGGTTCTACTTTGCCCAATTTCCTCTTTCTCAACCAACCGCTGTTTTGTCCCCAGCAGTTCTGTGCAGTGGGCAGCAGCCTCAGGGGTTTGCAAGGACGGTAGAAAATAGGCAGAGGTGGGTTGTGAACATCCAGGAGTCCACCCTCGGCTCGTACCTGCTGTAGCTATCATGGGGAACTAGAGAGGCAGAGGAGGTTCAGCCCACTGAACCCCCACCCAATAGCTTCCTGTGGAGCCAACTGCTGAAGAGGAACGGGTGTGAGGGCCTCACCCTCACACATGGGTACACAAACAGAGACACATGTGACATGCAGGTCACAGGTCTCCAGAGAGACACACACCGGAGCACACATGGGGACAGAAATGTACGTGGGTGTGTGGAGCTATGGAGAGACGAGTGGAACCGAAGGCTGTGGTGGTAAATGTCTGACAGCTATCGTTCCTTTTAGCATCTGTCCAGTCTTCCAGTGTAAGCACCGTCACCATGGCTGACTCCAGTTCTTCAACTAATGCACCGTTACCAGAGCTGTTAGGGTTAGACCCTGAGCCCTCGGAGTCCCCTAACAAACCAGGTACAGAAACTCAGTCAGGGCTGGGGTCACTGGGTTAAATGCTTGCCCTGCAAGCAAGAGGCCCCGATTTCAGATGCCCTCTCTACCTGACTAAAAGCCTGGTGTGCCAAAGGCACTTGTGATAATCCCAGCACTGAGCTGGCAGACACAGGAGGATACCAGGGGCCAACCAGCCTACACTAGTGAGCTCCAGGCTCGGTGAGAAACCTTGTCTTAAAAACTAAACTGGGAGCTAGGGGTGGTGGTATACAATTTCACTATCAGCACTGGGGAGACAGAGGCAGGCAGATCTCTGAAGGCCAGCCAGGTCTTCAGAGTGAGTTCTAGGCCAACTGGGGTAAACAAGCCACAGTTAAAAAAAAAATAGAAAAGCAAGTTTTTTCAATGTGGCTGCGCTGGGAAGAGGAACAAAGAGACCCAGTGCTTCTTCCTACCTCTGCCCTCCAAGTCCATTTTTAGAGTTCTGACATTAGATTTAGGTTTATATAGAAGGCAGGAGGCATGCATGGGGCTGGAGAGATGGCTCAGTGGTTAGAGTGCTCGCTGCTCTTCTAGGGGACCTGAGCTTGTTACAGGACACCCACATTGGGTGGTTCACACTGCCTATAACTCCAGTGCTAGACGATCCTAGCCTGTCTGGACCTCTATGGGCACCTTCACACACATGCACACATCCATACACAGACAAACATACATACCCACAGGCACCTGCACACACATGCACATACCCACACACAAACACACATACCTATGGATACCTGCACACACATGCACATTTCCACACACCGATAAACACATAATTAAAAAATAAACAAATATTTAATAAAAAGTGATATGCAGAAATATGAGAGATGGCACAGTGGCTAGGGACTCTTACTGTTTTTTCAGAGGACACAGGTTCAGTTCCCAGCACCCACCTGGTAGTATGATAGCTCACCGCTGTTTGTAACACCAATTCTAGGGGTCAGATACGCTCTTCTGATCTTTTTGAGCTCCCGCAGTTACGTAGTCCACATACATATCTCTAGGCACACACACAGATACATAAAATAAATGACAACTATTTTTAAAAAGATAAGCATAGCTAAGCAGTTCGGATCAAGGTGTGGTTCTCTCCTGACATCATGGTCTTGGCTCTAGCATCTTCTGCAACGTGATCTCAGAACTGTGTGAAATCTGAAAGACAAGCTCCCTGTCCGACTGGTCCACCTCCTTCCAGCTCGAAACTCCAGAGGAAGTCCCAGTTACTTGAGGTTTGTTATCTCAACAGTCAAACAGTCAAAGGGAGTGGTGCAAATGTTGCTTTAGAATATTCCTGGGCTAGGTGGGAATGCTCAACACATAAAGAATCTTGTCATCAAGCCTGCAGGTCCCAGTTTCAACTCCAGGACTCACCACATCTTGCAAAGAGAACTTCTGCAAATTGTCCTCTGACCTCCACAGATGTGTGTGTACACACACACACTCGTGTGTGTGGGGGAATAACAACAACAACAACAATAATAATATGGACTATCTTCAGTCCTGCCAGGACGGGCCCACCAGGGAATGTCAAGGTGAGAAGGGTTTTTTTTGAGATAGGGTTTCTCTGTGTAACAGCCCTAGCTGTCCTAGAACTTGTTCTTGTAGACCAGGCTGGCCCTGAACTCATAGGGATCCACCTGTTTCTGTCTCCCAAGTGCTAGGATTAAAGGCATGTACTACCACTGCCCAGCTAAACATTGCTGTTTTAAGACAGGGTCTTTCTAAGTTACTCAGGTTGTCCTTGAACTCATTTGTAGTTCAGACAGATTCCTAATTTACATGAGTCTTGCCTCACTCTATAATGACAGGCATGTGTCTCCATGCCTAACTATGTTTTTGACAGTGTGTGTGTGTGTGTGTGTGTGTGTGCGCGCACGCGCGTGTGCACGTGTCCTTGATGAGGTCAGGCTATGCCTTTAAGATGAGTAATCTTGATTGTGAATTTAACCACATTTGGAATTAACTAAAACCCAAGCAGCTGGGCACACCTGTGAGGGGGTTTCCTTAACTGGATTATTTGTGGCAGAAAGAACCACCCTAAATATGGGTTCTATCTTCTGGAGGTAAGATACGTAAAAAGACATGAAAGAAGGGATCTTTTTGTTGTGGAATAATCTTTATGTACACCGTAAAGATGTGTCTTTGCCAAGGTGCTTTCTGATTGGTTTAGTAAAGAGCTGAATGGCCAATAGCTAGGTAGGAAAGGGTTAGGCAGGACTTCTAGACAGAGAGAGAGCTCAGGGGAGAATAAAGGCGAGTTGCCAGCCAGATGCAGAGGGAGTAAGACATGCAGGAGGAGATGTAAAAGCCACGAGCCACATGGCAGCACATAGGTGAACAGAAGTGGGTTAAGTTGTAAGAGTTAGTTAGAAACAAGCCTAAGCTAAGGCCGAGCTTATATAATTAATAGTAAGCCTTTGTGTTATTTGGGACAGAGAAAGACTTGGTACACTTTTTACTTTTTGTCCACGTTCCCTCACTTTCACTGGCAGGTTCATCTACCCTGCTGCTCAGACATTACTTCCCTGGTATTAGAACTGACTTCCAACTTAGACTGGAGACCAGCAAAAGGCTTCTACCCAGAAATGCTCTAGGACTCCAGCACCGGACATCCAGTCTTGACTGAACAAATACTGGATCCTTGGCCTTTCCATTGGGACACAGTCACTATTGGACCACCCAAGCCGCAACCTGTAAGCCACTCTAATAAGACTTTTGTGTGTGTGTGTGTGTGTGTGTGTGTGTGTCTGTGTGTGTGTGTGTTCACTTGTTCTATCATTTCTGCTCCTTTAGAGAACTTTGACTAATACAACCCTATTCCGAGTTACTCCATGTTGTATAAAACAGTGGTTTTTCAGGCTGTGCCTTGCCCTAGGAGACCCGGTTTTACAAGGAGTCCTTGACTGTATTTTCAGGAAGCCAGGACCTGCACCACCCAGCACAGATGGATGCATGACTTATTCCCGAGAACAGCAAGGTGCTGCCCTTTATGTTTACTTGGGTGAACGGAAATTTTGGTTTCAGATGTTCATATTAAAATCATATTAGGGAGACACGGCCCAAGAACTTATTAGACACACCAGACTCAGGTAAAGGTGTAACTCCTTCAACTGGACCCCATAAAGTGATGGGCACCCAACAGGGTGGTGAAATAGCCCCACACCAACCTATATCAGACACCTGATGTGTATGTCAAGGCTGAGGATACCCTGACTGTCTTTTGATCTCATCTGGACTTGGACTCCCCCCTGTTGACTCAACCTACTCTGTGGTTGCCTGTCCCCTTGTTTGCTCATTTGGTCTGACCCGCCATTTCCTGCTCTTCCTGGTTCCGTGGACTTCACTGTTTGCTGTCAATCCTGACTCAGGCAGCCTCCGCGGTACCTCTCTCCTGGCTCGGCTGTGATTCGTTATCTTGTCACTGTGGACTCCTAGCCTGAAGTAGAATAAGGCAGAAAAGACCAATTATTAGTTCCTGGTTTGTAAACTTCTTTGGTGACTCACTTCAAGCCCTGCTTGTACTGCCTGTTCGCCGCGGCCGACTTCACCTGTTACCGGGAACGGAACAATCTGGAGAAAAATCCGAAGCAGTGGATTATCGCCCTGAACAGCCTGCCCGAGTGCCATGGACGCTTCAGTAACATCTTGCTTGCTTTTCTGCCCCACCTTGTGGTTTTAGAGCGTAAAATGAGAACACAAACTGGATCCGGGGTCGAAGTCTTTCAGGAGCTTCTAGTGGCCAAGGGAACTGTGAGACCCAGGACCAGAGTCTTTGAGAGGAAGAAGACAAGACTAGGCTGGAAGTCTGGATCCGGTGAGGCCCCTGGGGATAGGCAGGGGTGCGGGCTTGGTCACCCCATAGGAGATTGCATCTGAAGCCTTGATGGGATACCAAGATGGCGCTGGTCCCAAGGAAAAGGTAGATTGTCTTTGGAGGAACAGACAAATCAGGAATTTAAAATGGGAATGTGTGCCTTCTGAATGAATGGTGAATGAATGTGGGGACGCTTGTAATGGTCCCATGGCTCTGAGGCTACAGAGCCAGATTGGGCCCTAATCTGTGGGTCCACTGAGGTAATTTCAACTAGGTGGGCCCTCACCTTCCATAACAGGAGACTGAGCACAGAATTATAAGTGTGTCCCTAAGACAAGACCTCTTAAGTCACGAAGAGGTGGCTGGGTAGATGAGAACCTGCTTGAGGGAGAAGCTGGTCTTCTCATCCCAGCCTATGCACCAACAGGGCTAGCTACATCTACCCCATACTCCCAACTCCTAATTCAGGAACTCCTCTCCTCCTGGGGTCTACATAGTTCTGTTGTGAGACCTGCGCAGTCCTACAAACCTTCCTCAACACTTTTAAAAGAGGGGCTGCTGCTGCGGGATAAAGATAAGGCCTCCACATTGAAGACTGTGACATTAATTGGCCTTCCTTTGGCGTTGGCTGGCCAGCAGATGGAACTCCTGTTTTGACTCTGATTAACAGAGTTCAAGAGTTCTGTATGGGACACCTGGCCACACAGATCAATTTTCATATATTGATTCATTGAGTCTGTTGACCCAAGAGCTTCCAGAATGACGGCTCTACCAGAACCTTCCCAACCCTGGACCATACTGACTACAAAGACTGTTAAGCTTGAAGACACTAAACTTTTCCATTAGCTTCAGCAGAGGATGAAATTTTGCCCATGAAGCCACCTCCCTACTGGCTCTGATCGCAAGTGCCAGCCACATAGCTCTGAGGCAGTTGCAAGACCCCTTGAACCTTATCCCTCCAATGGCATCCACCCCAGCCCAATGCTCACCATCCTCATCCTGCCAGCCTGCTCTGCCGGACTCACCAACTACATGGGGATGTTCACCAGGTCAGGTCAATTGTGTCCACAGGAGGAGTTCTTTCCGCTGAGGAAAATGCCAGACCCTCCCTTTATCCAAGAAGATAACAACTATGGCTCCAGGCCCTAAATCCAGCCACACACTTGTCTGAAGAGGAGGGAGAGCCCATCCATGATTGCAGAGAAATTATAAAAGAGATTTTTCTCCTCACAGCCTGACTCAAAGGATGAGTCATTCCCCAATTCAGATATGAAACTTTTTATTGATGGGAGCTGAAGCCATCAACAGGGGAAAGAACCTTTCACACCAAAAGACGCAAAGCAGCAATATATAGAGAAAGGGGACTGTGTATCCCAGGGGGCAAAAACAAACAGGCAGACAGACAGACAAACCTAGAGACCATACCATACAGGGGCTAAAAGCCCAGCTGTGGCAGTGGTGCACTGGCAGGCTCACACAGAGTCAAGGCTGAGTGAGTCAGGGGACACCAACTGGCAGTCACAGGCTGCCCTCACACGAAGATATAGCCCAGAAGTCCCTAGGAGCCATTTCCCCCTACCAGAGGTATATTTAATAACTGTCAAAGGGGCTACTAGAAACCAGGAGTGATGGCTGATTACTTCAGCTCTCAGCCTAATCTGACAAGCTCATGAAACAAGGCTCTGGAAAAACTGCCATACAGGAATTTTTGGTAGCAGAGATACTCGGTGGTCCCAAGGTTGCCAATACCGATCCAACAAGCTAGCAAAGCCTGTTTGCAGCATGCTCAGAACTATCCCAAGCATGGACCCGAGGCCCCCATGATGACACAAAAATAGGGGTCCTACACATTTGAGCATCTAGAAATGGTCTTTACCGACATTCAGTCCAGTAGAGGGTGTTGATATTTGCTGCTATGGTGTGCACTTTTTCAGGCCAGCTAGAAGCTCTTTTTATCTGCAGAGAATTAACTTGGAACTTAACACATGGAACTACCCTCAACCATCAAACCAGTCAAGAGGATGAAAAAAAAAACTTTTAACATGGTACTGGTCAATATTGCCAAGAAACAGACCTCCCCAGGCAGACATTCTGTTTAGGATGTATTATATACCCTGTAAATGTGGTGACTCTATTTTTGAGATCATGATTGGCCACCCACCTCCACTGCTCCCAAAGGACTCAAAGGACCTCTGAGAGTATGGACACACCTTCCTCCAGTGGTTCTTGAAAGACCTGGCTGACACTGCACAAAATTTGCCCACTCCCTCAGCTCTTAAAGTTGCATGTGTCAAGCAGTGGATATATTATACCCATACCAAGGCTGCTTTGGTCCCGAGCCAGGAAGAGACAAGGCGAGCCCATCCAACCTGCATATGAAACTGATCAGCTCAAAATGACCTTGAAATGGGACCACAGTTCAGCTTCTATTCTGCTTCCAGATGTCCTTCTTCATCCTGTGGACACAAGTCTGTGCAGTCCTCACTCAGCCTCTCTGATCCTGTCACATAAATTAGTCTGGAGGGCAACCTTGTTCCAGGACAACTCCAATTCCTAGACACCCATCAATATAAGTAACTGCTCCCAGAGGGGTTCTGCTTTATCTTCTCTAGGTGGTGCTTCTACCGAGAAATAGGCCAGCCACGGGGCATACTGTGATGGAACTATCTACACCAGTAAAACAGGCTGTGATTCCTTTTAGAGACAGTCCTAGCTAGTGACAACTTGTGGACAAGCAGTCTGACAACAAAAGTGACTGTGGATTGTGGGGGAGCCTATTGGTCTTATCTTAAATACTGGTATGTATTGGGTGATATTTTGATTGCTTTCTGATGTTCCTGAGACTGTCAGTAAAATTTACTCTGAATCAGAGAGTAGAGTTAGCTACTAGTTGACCAAATTAATCATAGAGGCTTTGGAGGATTGAGGACAGAAAGAGAGACACAGGAAATAGTAGGACAGGGAAGTAGTAGAGAGGGTCTCTGCTTTTTTGAATTGAGGAAGGGGAAAGAGAAGGTCACTGTGGTTTCTATGCTGCTTCTCTGATCATTTAGGTTCTTACCCCATATCTGACTCCTGAGTTTTTATTGATAAAGAAGAATATTTCTTTACACTGTGTGAATATGTGTCATTGTGATTGGTTTAATAAAAAGCTAGGTGGTCAATAGCTTAGGAAGTAAAGGTGAGACTTCTGGATGGAAAGAGCTCTGGGAAGAAGAAAGGCAGAGTTTCCAACAAACATAACAGGAACAGGTAGGTAGGGGGAGCAGTAAAAGTCATGAGTCACATGGCAACATGTAGATGACTAGAAATGGGTTAATTTAAGTTGTAAGAGCCAGTGGGATAAGTCTTCATTACAGGTTGATCTTCCATAATTAATAATAACTCTCACCCTTAAAGAAAAAATGAAAAATTCCCTTAATAAATGGAGGAAAAGGCAAACAAAAAATTTTAAGAAATCAGCAAATCTTGTAAACAAAGCCAAGAAAACCAAGAAAATACAATCAAACAGGTGAAGCAAACAGTTCAACCAGTTCAAGACTTGAAAAGTGAAATAGAAAACACAAACCAAGGGAATTCTGGAAATGAAAAATCTGGGTAAATGAACAGGAACTACAGATGCAAGCATAACCAACAGAATTCAAGAGATGGAAGACAGAATCTCGGAGTTAAAGAAAACAATAGCAGAAATAGATTCATTGGTCAAAGAAAATGTTAAATCCAACAGATTCTTAACACAAAACATTCAGGAAATCTGGGACACCATGAAAAAACAAAACTAAGAATAATAGGGGTAGATGAAGAAGAACTCTAGATCAAAGACAAAATATATTCAGCAAAATCGTAGAAGAAAACTTTCCCAACCTAAAGAAAGATATGTCTATAAAGGGACAAGAAACTTACAGAACACCAAATAGACTGGACCAAAAAAAAGTCTCATCACCATATAATAATTGAAACACTAAACATACAGAATAGGGAAAGAATATTAAGAGCTGCAAATGAAAAAGCCAAGTAACATATAAAGGTAGACCTATCAGAGTTACAATTACATCTTACTTCTGAATGGAAACAATGAAAGCCAGAAGGTCCTGGACAGATGTTCTGAAAACACTAAGAAACCACGGATGCAAGCCCAGACTATTATACCCAGCAAATCTTTCAATCACCATAGACAGAGAAAACAAGATAGTTCATGACAAAACCAGATTTAAACAATACCTATCCACAAATTCAGCCTTATAGAAAGTACTAGAAGAAAACTCCAACCCAAGGAAGTTAGCTGCACAGTCAATAGATAACCTCATATCAACAAACTCCAAAGAAGGGAAACACACACACACACACACACACACACACACACACACACACACAACCACCGAAAAATAACAGAAATTAACAATCACTGGCCGTTATTGTCTCTTAATTTCAATGGACTCAGTTTACATATAAAAAAAATGGGGTGCTGATCTGAACAGAGAATTCTCAACAGAAGAACTTCGAATGGCCAAAAGACACTTAAGGTCATGCTCAACATCCTTAGCGATCAGGGAAATGCAAATCAAAACAACTATGAGATACCATTTTACACCGGTCAGATTAACTAAAGTCAAAAACACCAATGATAGACTATGCTGGAGAGGATGTGGAGAGAGGGGAACACTCATCCATTGTTATCCTCCTGGAGATTGGAAGTAGACAAGAGTGCCAGGCAACCTCGGATGCATGGGGGGGGGTTGTTGGAAGGGGAGAGGATTAGAGAGAAGGGAGTAGGGGAGGAATGGGGAAAGCTCGGGGGATTGGGATGGGGGGGAGGGAGGAAGGATGGATATGTGATCAGGGAAGTATATATCTCAACTAAGGGAGTCATTTTAGGGTTTACAAGAGACTTGATTATAAAGGGGATCCCAGGTCCAAGGAGAGATCCCCAGATTGTTCTCTGGACAGAGGAGAGGGTGCCTGAACCGGCCTTGGCCCATAACCATACTGATGAATATTTTGCTTATCACCATAGAACGTTCATCTGGCGATGGATGGAGATTGAGACAGAGACCCACATTGGAACACTGGACTTAACTCCCTAGGTCCAAATGAGAAGCAGAAGGAGAGAGAACGTGAGCAAAGAAGGCAAGATCAGAGGGAACCTTCACCCGTTGATGGATGGAGATTGAGACAGAGACCCACATTGGAGCACTGGACTGAGCCCCCAAGGTCTAAATGAGGAGCAGAAGGAGGGAGAACATGAACAAGAAAGGCAGGACCGTGAGGAGTGCGTTCACCTACTGATACAAGGGGAGTGATCTAATGAGAGTTCACCAAGGCCAATTGGACTGGGATCCAACCAGATTCTCTGAATGTGGCTGGTACGGGGTCTTTCTGAAAAGCCATTGACAATGACACTGGGACTTGTTTCCTCTGCATATACTGGATTTTTGGGATCCAGTCTGTTAGGATGCTCACCTTCCTGTACCTGGAGGGAGGGGAAGGAACTTGAACTTCCCACAGGGCAGGAAACCCTGACTGCTTTTAGGGATGGAGAGGGAGGAGGAGAGGGAGTGGGGGGAGTGGGAGGGTGTTGGGAGGAGGGGCGGAAATGGAAACTTTTATAAATTAATAAACTTTTATAAATTAAAAAAAGTAAATAATTTCTACAATAAAAAATGACACAGACTAACAGAATGGATACAAAAACAGGATCCGTTCTTCTACTGCACACAAAAAAACACCTAAACCTCAAAGACAGACATTATCTCAGAGTAAAGGGATGGGAAAAGATTTTCCAGTCAAATGGACCTAAGAAACAAGTGGGTGTAGCTATCCAAATATCTAACAAAATATACTTCAAACTAAAATCAATCAAAAGAGGTGGAGAAGGACGCTTTATACTGTTAACAGAAACAGTCTATCAAGATGAAGTCTCAATCCTGAACTTTTATGCTCCAAATACAAGAGCATCCACATATGTAAAAGAAACATTATTAAAGCTTAAATTGTACATCAAACCCCACATACTAATAGTGGGAGATTTCAACACCCCATTATCCCCAATGGACAGGTCAATCAGATAGAAACTTAACAGAGAAATAAGACAGCTATCATATGTCATGACTCAAATGAACTTAACAGACATCTATAGAACATTCTACCCAAACACAGCCTTCTGGAACCTTCTCTAAAACTGACCACATACTCAGTAACAGAGCAAATCACTACAGATACAAAAAATTGGAATAATCCCCTGTATCTTTTCAGATCACATTGGCTTAAAGTTAGAATTCAACGACAACACTAATAACAGAAAGCCTACAAACTCATGGAAACTGAACAATGCTTAGCTGAATCACCCTGGGTTAAGGAAGAAAAACAAAAATTAAAGACTTCCTAGAATTCTGTGAAAATGAAGGCACAACATACCCAAACCTTTTGAACACTATGATCAGTGTTAAGAGGAAAGTTTATAGCACTAAGTGCCTACATAAAGAAAGTCTAGAAATCTCACACTAGTGACTTAACAGCATACCTGAAAGCTCTAGAACAAAAAGAAACAGACTTGCCCAGGAGAAGTAGAAGACAGGAAAGAATCAAATTGAGGACTGAAATAAATAAAATAGAAACAAAGAAAAAAATGTAAAGAATCAATGAAGCAAAGAAGTGATTTTTCGAGAAAATCAACAAGATAGGCAAATCCTTATCCAAACTAACCAAAAGGCAGAGAACATGCAAATTAACAAAATCATAAATGAAAAGGGGGACATAACAACAGACATTGAAGAAATCCAGAGATTCATTAGGTCATACTACAAAAGCCTGTACTCCACAAAATTAAAAAATGTAAAGGACAATTTTTTAGATAGGTACAACATACAAAAATTAAATCAAGACCAGATGAACAATTTAGATAGACTTATCAGCCCTAAGGAAATAGAAGCAGTCATTGAAAGTCTCCCAACCAAAAAATGCCTAGGGTCAGTTTATTTCAGTGCAGAATTTTACCAGAACTTCAAAGAAGAGCTAATACCTATATTTCTCAAATTGTTCCACACAAAAGAAACAGAGGAACATTGCCAAACACTTTTTATGAGGCTACAGTTATGTTGATACCCAAACTACACTGAGATGCAACTAAGAGAGAGAATTACAGACCAGTCTCCCTCATGAACATTGATGTAAGAATACTCAATAAAATACTGGCAAACTGAATCCAAGAACACATAAAAAAATCATCCACTATGATCAAATTGGCTTCATCCCACAGATGCAGGGATGGTTAAACTTATGAAAATATGTCAATGTAATCCACCAAATAAATAAACTAAAAGAAAAAAAGCCATATGATCATTTCTTTAGATGCTGAAAAAACTTTTGACAAAATTCAACACTCCTTCATAATAAAGATCTTGAAGAGATCAAAGATACAAGAAACATATCTCAACAAAATAAAAGCAATATACAAGAATAGGAGAGAGGAAGAAGGAATTGGACAAGAATTTATACCTCAATAAAAACAATTTTAAAAATTCAAACAAAAAATAAAAGCAATAGACAGTAAGCCAACAGTTGACATCAAATCAAATGAAGAGAAACTCAAAGTGATTCCATTAAAATAAGGAACAAAACAGGATGTCCACTCTTTCCATATCTATTCAATATAGTACTCGAAGTTCTAGCTAGAGCAACAAAACAATAAAAAGAGATCAAGGGGATACAAAAATTAGGAAGGATGAAGTCAAAATTTCACTATTTGCAGAAGATGTGATAGTATGCATAAGTGACCCAAAAAATTCTACCAGGGTACTCCTACAGCTGATAAAAATCTTTAGGTAATGTGACAGGATACAAGATCAACTAAAAAAAAAATCAGTACCCCTCCTATATACAAACGATAAAAGGGCTGATAAAGAAATCAGAGAAACATCACCTTTCACAATAGACACAAATAACATAAAATATCTTGGGGTAGCACTAACCAAAAAAGTGAAAGACCTATACAATAAGAACTTTAAGTCTTTGAAGAAAGAAATTGAAGAAGATATCAGAAAATGAAAAGCTCTCCCATGCTCTTGGATA